AAGAGAATTATTATTTTCATATATTATTTTAATTATTTCACATATTTATTATTCTTTATCTAACTAACATTAATTATTACAGATGAAATTGTAAAAAATAAAATATTATCTATCTGTTCATTAATTTTATAAAATAACAATAAAAAGTGAATAAAATAAAATTATGAAACTGTCAAAGAATTAAAAAACGGGGTATCAAAGGATAAACAATTTAATGTCATCTAACTAATGACAAGCCAACAGATGATTTGCCTGAATGCAGAATCTCACTTGACAGGCGACCACTGATTGCTGGCTCTGTCAAACATCAAACCGTTTTTAAGCCTTAACTGTATCATTTTTCAAAACCACTTCAAATGGTACTAGACAACCTGTTTTACAGGTTTCAAGCGACAAATCCTGTCCATCCATTAAACAAATATCATATCTGACAACATTAAAAAAAAAAAAATGGTTCCCGCATGGGCCACTTGTTAAAGTGATCCACCTAATACGTTGCCCCTTTACGTATACTTGGAATAGTTTAAGAGGTATGAATATATGGCGTAGAAACTTTTGGCTATAATTAGGCTGATAAGTGGGGAGCATGGAGTGTTTGAATTGGGGCCTTTTGCATTGTTATCAGAACCTTTTTTCGCAAGTAAAATTAAAATGGTAATCTCTCTTCTAACTGATCAAGATATTTTTCGTTGTGATTATGCCAAGTGTCTTTGTCTTTTGACATATGATACCTTGTACCTATGTTTTTAAAATAAGAGCAATTATTGAATCTCAATATTGAATTATAATCAAATCGATAATATAAAAAGGCTATATTAATTATATATACTGCAAGTAAAAAATTTAATAAAAAGTTAAATTGATGATTAATAAACCCAAATTACATAAATATTACTAAGACATGCTAAGTTGAAAGAATGTAATATTATAAACAAATTTGCTTTTAAACAAAGAGCGATAACAGTAAATGGCAAAAGGTGTGGATGTCTAAACAAAATCCTAGTTCACACGTGTCTTCTGGTCTATCACCTTGTTTCGTCTAGGATATAACAAGAGCATTATCTTCAAGCTAACGTCAATGTTATCTCTTGTATTGGTAACCGCAGTAGTACGAGGAAATTATTTTAACTTAGTCTTGTATCATAAATCTCTAGCACATTTTCTCCACAAAATTAGAGCAATTACTTGATTATTGCTCAGTGTATCAGTCTCAGTATCAGTACTACCAAATCTTATTAGTCTTCATTGAACACTTTCTTAATTACAACGTCAGTACTACTACATATCATGCAATGTTATTTTCATGTGCGTCAATTAATGAAATTCAGTTTTGATTCTCAGAACACATGAAGAGGTCTAGATCAACAATCGGCAAGAATTAATGTAGAAGGCGGTGTCAAAACTTCAACAAACACCATAATGCATTAACGGCATCTCCGGGAGTCATGGACCATCACACAAAGTTGTCTCTCTAATTTGTACCAATCTTTCTTTTCATTGTCTTGTTTCCTTTTATTCTTTGATTTGATGATAAACATGAAGACGGCATTTCTTTTTCCCATCCTCAATCTTTTAATGTTTCCTTTTTATTGTAGATGAAAATCTGTATTTGATTTGATTGAAGGGCTTTGCTATTTAGTCGGAATACGTACGTATGTGTGGATGCGAATAGGATAGGCATAATTATTAAATAGGACTCACTTCAGATATGAGACTTATCAAATTTGTTTATCTGAAATCTATTCAGCCATACAGATCTTCAACTGAAAGGAATTCTTTTTCCCTCCTCAATAATTATTTCCAGCATGTTTGCTTCAAGGGAGGGACTATTGTCATTCTTGCATGTTTATTAACATCTAGTTAATTTTTAAATACCTTTTATTATTAGTTTGATTAGTCAAGAACAAGAAGACTGTTTTAAATAAAAATGACAACAGAACATAAGAGTGATTATATATATATATATATATATATATATATATATATTCAGTGAATAGATATTCTCTTAGTTTGATTAAATGTAAAGAAATAATTATTTATTAGTTAAATTCTCTTTTAAAAAATTAATTATATATATATATATATATATTTAGATTGACGTTAAAATTATCATTTTGATCTCTATTGTTTCTATAATTTGACAAAATAATCATGAAACTAAATAAATAGTATTTTAGTTCTTATTGGATGTAATAATCAATTATTTTATTTTATTTTATTATTTTATAATCCATCAAAATAGTTTAAAAATAAGTAAATTATTATTATAATCTTGAATATAAGCAATGAACAATCATTTTAGTTTTTAATAATAAATTATTTTAATTTATAATTTCATTTATATATTAATTATTCTAATGTAAGCCAATTTAACATATTAAGTGTCTTAGACATGTAACATTTAAAGATGACAAGACAAAGTAATATGACTGAAGGTTTTTTTTTTTTTTTTAATTTCACAATTTAATTTCAAACAATCTTTTAATAAGGATCAAACTAAATAATCAAATATTTCTTATAATATTATTAAATATCACTAATAATCACTTAATATGTAAAATATTTTGTTTGTTAGAACAATTAATATTTACAATATAAACTAAAATGCTTGCCGATTGTGTATGATTAAAACTAAAATGATTAATAATTATATACATAAAATATTAAAATGATTGACAATTATATATGTTGATGAATAAAATAATATTTTATTTATTCATAGACTATTTTTATGAATTTCAAAAATATTAAAGATCTAAAATGATAGTTTACTCAATTACAAAGATATAAGTTAACAAAAATTATAAATATGATTATAGTTCAGTTTGGATAAATATTTAGATAAATTCTTATAAGGAAAAAAAGAATTAGACTCAATTTAAGTAAATTTCTAGACAAGGTTTTATAAGAGAAAAAAAATACTATCAGTTAAATAATTTTTTTTCATAAATTAAAAAAAAGTAAACTTCTTTATTTTTAAGAAGTTTTGATAAATTTTATTTATTTATTTAACTTCTCTAAAATTTGAAGAGATAAATTATTTTTAACTTGTGGAAAAGTTATATTTATTTTATATTGATTTTTATTTTATAAAAACTTATTTTGAACTTTACTAAAAATATACCTTAATATGGAAAAAGAATAAAACTTATCTTCTAATTTATAAATAATTTATGTTTTTTTACTATAAAAACTTCCTTAAAAATTTATCCGAACTACGTTTATATATAACATGAAAATTAATGTAAATTCAGTGTGTAAAAATATAAAACTAAACATATTGTAAATAATTTCGCTTTTAAAAATAAGTTGAATTAAACATTCACTATTTTCAAAATTACGTTACTTCTTTAAGCTTTTATGTGATTACTATTCTCAAAATGAATCTTATGCGTGTGTTTCAATATTTAAATATGATAAAGACTTTATAATCCTTCTATATATTTGAATATTATGTTATATTGAGACTAGGATAATTACTAATTATAATACATTTATACGCCACAACCTGACCTAATGATTTAGTTTTTCTGATCATTATAGAGATATGAATTTTAAAACGCTCAGATTGTATACTTTGAAGTTCTATGAGGTAGTCGCAAAAAAGAGTTACGAACATAGAGAGGAATTAAAAGGGAGAAACAGAAGAAACTCATCATTTAGTTAATCAGACGCAATTGAATTGTTGAATATATCCCATCCTCTTTCAAATTCTTTTACAGTAAAGTTAAACCTTCAGCGCTAAGCGAATTGTAATATGTGTATCACTTTTATTAAAAGGTAACTGCTTGAATGTTGGGGGGTCAGGCATGATAATAACCATTTGTCAATTCATGCATGGACATGTACTCTCAAACCTGACAATTTTAGAGCTGAAAATTTGTAAACAGGAGTCAAAGGTATCTCTGGTGCTACACACATTTTATACCCATTCAAGCAAACTTTCAAAAGAGCCTTAAAGACAGAGAAACCATCAATTAATTTTTTCTTGCAATTTATGCTGGCCATGAATCCTTTATCTCAACAACCATAATTACAGGCATTATATACCGAGTTATAATATTCTTAATACAACATCTTTATATATATATATCAATATCTCTTTATCACATTATTAATTTATTTGTTCTATTTTTTTCTATTTCATTCTTAATTGTTGAAAAAGTTATACAAAAACATTATACAAATTGATCTCATGCATACTATATCACTTTGACACAGACATATATATGACGCTAAATATATTCAATATCCATTGAAAAATACCAGAAAAGGCTATATACCTATTAAAATATCAATACATATCTTTTGGGTCGTTGTTACCTTTTTACCCAGTTAATTTATTTATTACTTTATTCTTATGAGTTATTTTGAGACGTCCAATAGAATATGTTCCATCAAATTCCTGTGCCAAACAGCACTAAGGATAACCATGTTGATTAGTGGACTAAATTATGCGTATTAATAGTGTGTGTCTCTCTTTATATATAAATTATAAAAAAAATCCTGAAAATCAAGCAACACTTGGACTATAAGCACCAAGTCGCCGACTAATGAGTAAGCTAATTCTAATTGGCTCCCACTGGATTAGACAAAATCAAGAAAAGAGGGTCCAGTGCAAACCATTACCAAGTGATCATAATGCCTATTGTGAAAAATGATGATTGGTGTGATTGTATTATTGATGCTTCCATATCCTACATAGTTACAGAGGTATTTTATTTTTCCTATCTAGAAAAACAAGTCTGTATACGCAAGTGCAAAAATAAGTACGAAGTAGAAATACAAATATGAGAAAAAGAGAGAGGAAGGAAGAAAAGAAGAAAAGCACCTCTACAAAGGGCCCACATTATGTCCTCTCAAAAGACCACCAGATGTGATTTTCTTCTTTCTCCACTGCACTAATTCTTTCACCGCATTAATTTCTTCTCTCACTCACACCGTTATTTCTTCCCAAAGTTTCCATATCCATCCATCCATCCATCCAAAGCCAATAATTCTTGCCCCCTTGATCACATAGTTTACCAATTAAACATGTCTACCCAAATTCAAAATGGTTCAGCTCACGGCTCTTCATCATCGTCACAACCACAACCTCTGAGCCGGTATGAATCACAAAAACGGAGAGACTGGAACACCTTTGGACAATACCTCAAGAATCAAAGTCCCCCAGTTCCACTCTCTCAATGTAACTTCAACCATGTGTTGGATTTCCTTCGGTACCTTGACCAATTTGGTAAGACCAAGGTCCACTTGCATGGTTGCATCTTCTTTGGCCAACCTACCCCACCTGCACCCTGTGCCTGCCCTCTCAGGCAGGCATGGGGTAGCCTCGACGCCCTCATCGGACGGCTGCGAGCTGCCTACGAAGAACATGGCGGCTCGCCGGAGACTAATCCCTTTGGAGGCGGAGCCATTCGGGTGTATCTGCGTGAGGTGAAGGAGTGTCAGGCAAAGGCTAGAGGGATCCCATATAAGAAGAAAAAGAAGAAGAGGAACCAACTCAAGGGGACGACTCAAATTGCAAAAGATATCAAGCAACAAGCCTCTTGAGATGAGATATATATATATGAATATGGTAATTAAATTTCTCATATTATATATGTTGCATCTAATTGTTATAACTGTTTTTCAATATTTAATTTTGATCCATGCAATTAGCTTCAACCCTTTGAAGTTCTTGAATTTTTGAACTTACTCGAAACTTGTATATCAGAATAGCATCCAGCCGGTGGCAGAAATAGGCATTAATACAGATCAGTTTATTAGGAATTTGAAGCCTTTATAACTGAACAGGCTAAGAAAATCGTCAAGTATGGATGGAGATGCCATTAGTAGCATACAAAACCCTAGAAGTAGAGTGAAAACCCTAATTTTGCATTGTTGATTGGAAAAGGTTTGTCTCAAGATTATTATACTAGCTAAGACTGTTGAGAGTAATGATTAGACTAGAAAGAATAGTGTTTCACTCCCTCCCTCTCTTTCTTTCTCTCTCCTATCATTCACAACACTGTTATTGCAGCTTCTAATTAAATACTATATATCAGGTGTTTGCTTTATGCTAAATTTGGGCCTTTTCTGATTCTGCGAGATTTCTTGTGCTCCCCATGGATGGGTGAGCTTGATCTATCATACGTTGCATGTGATTACATCCACAACCTTACGTAGTTAGAAACTATAACATATTGGAATTCTGTCATATATTGTTTTAACAAATACATATTTTGATTAATCACAGACAATTCTCCTTGAACAATTTGTACACGTACACATATAGTGTGGTCCATACATAATTTTGTAACGCATTAATTCGTGGTTTAGCTGAACTTAAGTATTTTCCACATAAAGGTTAATTTATTTAATGCTGGCCATTCTTTTAGAATGCTTAAATATGGTCCTTTGTGCATGTGAAGAGACAAGAGTGGCCTTGGACACGCCCTTTTTGTTTGTCTCGTGACTTTTTCTCTGGATTGTAATATACTTATTGTCTCTTATTAGTGGAAGCTGAGGGCCACTTTAAAATCTAGTTACCTATAATGTTTGTATTTCTATCCGCATGATGGAAAGACCCCTAAAAATGTAAAAAAGAAATATTTCCTAAAAGTAGAAAAGAATGAGAGAGAAAGCCAAGTGTGAGCTTTGTTTTATTGAACAAGAGGAAAATAAGTAATGTAGATAGATAAATAGTTGAATTACAGATCACTTAAACTTACCAAAGCTCTTCTGGTTGGCGGGATATATATATATGGCTATATATGGTGTTTATGTTAAAGATTTAATGTCTGTGTACATGAATATACCAACAAAGGGTTCATTAATTTGTTGGCGTTACCGGCAAGTCTAATTGTCACCACAATCACGTTAATAACATCTTGTTTGTTAGGTGGGCCGGGAGACTATAAGTCAATCCCGTTTGTTAGGAAAAAGAATAGAATATATAGTATTTTAGTTTATGGTTCATTAGAGCAACTTCCACGGTGATGAGTTGCAAGTTTAAAGTTGTTAATGTATGAAAAGAGAGAGTTTCTTATATAAAAAACTATTACATGTCAAAAAATAAAACCTGCACACACATAATTTGAAGTGAGAGAGAATTAGGTAGCTTTTCTAGATCTCTAGCTAGCTATTTCAAAAATAAAAATGCTCTTATATTAAAAACAAGAATTATCTTTTCCTATTAAGAATACAGGATTAATGAGTTTACATTCCGTGAATAATATTTAGTTTTCTTCTTACAATAATCTTATTGATTTTATAAACTAACAATTATTACTAAAAAAAATACACTTGATAAAGGTAAAAAAAACAGTGAATAGTTATTTATACTAAAAGAGAAAGAAGCAACGTTTCTTTTACATACGGATATCAAACACAGTAGTGTATAGCCGAACTAGTTAATTTAGATTTGAAAGAATTAAAAGCTTATGAATGCGGATTTATAGTTTTGAGACCACGTAAAAGTGGGTTTTATTGAATAGAGAGATGCAATAGAACTAAAGACTTCCAAAGAAAAGAGATGAGAAAAAAAATATGAGCAGCAAAATATATCAGATGATCTATACTTTTATCAATTGGTTAAAATCTTTAACGCTGCACAGATCCTGACTGAGAAATTTGATTTAAGAGTCTCCACACAATTGTGATTAGACCAATTAGCATGAGGGAACAGATCATTTTCAATTAAGTTTGAGTATAACAAGAAATTTTTACAATCTCTTCTATCCCAGCTTCTGATTTTATATCAATTTCACTGTTAAATTAAGATTGAGTTTTCGTTTCCAACTAATATCTCACAACAGCTTGGTATACCTAAACTATGTTCAATATCATCCCACACAACCACAGTCAGGAGTACGTAGCTGCATTCATGTATAATGGTGAACAGTCACAATGACTTAGCAGATAGAGTATTGCATGTGTGTTGATTTGGGACCTTAAAGAACAATGGAACAGTACGTTTGTGGTCCGGATTTGGATCATTTATATCATTAAATAATATAATATCATAATGTTAGAAAAATAAAATTATAAATTTTATTAAATTTTATTATGCTTTATAATAAATTATAATAGATCGATTTTTATTTAATAAAAGTATGTTTTTCTCTATTTAAATATAATTATATCATATTACTTGATAATAGGAGAATATTTGAATTCATGTGGTCCGAATGCTGATCTCAAGTGGAGAGTATATTGGTTGCTTGTTTCCGGTGATGATGCATTAACTATCAACAATACATGGATTCCAGAGTGAAATTGTGGTTGGAACTGGAATTTTAGCCTGCATTTATGCACAAAGAGGCCAAGCGTGATTCCGTTCTATATTAAGAAATTTTATAATCCTACTGAATTGCTCTTAATTCGTTGTCTTCCCATGTTTTAGATTAGATGTATGACATTAGCTAGAGAGTTTACGTTTGTTGATTGAAACTCGATTCTCAAAAAGAAATCACTCATTTTGTATGCATGTTTTTCATCCAAAGGTTAAAGCTATTGGCAATTGCAACAAATTTTAGTGACTTCTCGATCAATCTGATTATTTTGTGGATAAATATTTAGTTGAGAGAGTTTATTTGTAAGTAAAAAGAAAGTCACTTGAATTTGTTCAATATTGTTTGCATGCAGGGTACAAATGAGTTAACTGGAGCAGATTTGGCACTTCAAAGAGCATGTAAAAAGTATTATCTCTCTGTTGCTTAGACCCACAATTATTACAGAAAATCACAGTGATATTTCACTAAGTAGGATCAGAACATCGGAATAATCCTTATTAAGCCGGTTTAGTTGCAGTAAATCTTAAATGTATGTTAGAGATGCACAACCTCGTAACTTCTTATAACATATGAGATCTCTTCTCCCAACTCGAAACGACAAGAATGGCTAGCTTTTACAGTTTACTTTTCTCTTTTTATGTGATGTCAAAACATATTAGTTTTTCCTCCTGTCTTCCCTTTCAAGTATCAGCGATGCTAATCAATAATATCTAAAAATATAAGTTTATAGTGTATTTAGGAGTTTCAATTTTTTTATAAATAAATTAATAGTTGTTTGATGATTTGAAAAATTAAGTGTTAAAATTACTGCTCTACATACAATCCATAGGATTCATTTTATTAAAATTTAGCTTCTAATATTTTTTTAATATAACAAATAATTTTTAAAATAATCTACATTTCCACAACATAATCTTGACATTTTTTAAAAAAATTTTTTAAACACATTTACACTTAGTTATATAATTATTTTTACTAAATAGTTGTAATTTAATTAGCTAGTCATAAATTAGAAACTTCCAACTAACTTATTAACTATAAATTAGTTATAAGATATAAACTTATAATTAGTTTTCTTTAACGTCTAAATAAAAAATTATCTAGGTATTATGTTGAAAAAAATTGGATTTTCAACATTTGTGTCATTAATGGGATCATGTCATGATTTTATAAATTTTAGTGCAATGGGCTTTTAAGATTGATTTAAAGATTTAAAAATAACATTTTATTAGAAAATAATTATTATATTAAAAAATATAAATATAATAAATATTTTTTCAATAAAATTTATCACTTTTAAATATAGAAAATGTTCTACTCGTGATATGTTATTATAGAATAAATTTTTTTAAAAATGTGGGATATTTTAAGTCAAAATTTTAATATTAAAAAAATAACCATAATTACACGCACATGTATAACATATTAAAAAAAAATCACTTAACTTACTCTCTTTCTCTCTCACAACGAGTTAAAAATAATTTCTTGAATATATATTTTTTCTTTAAATCAACTTTGTCTACGTACTTCATGAAATATTTTTCCTTCCTTACAATTTTGTTCTCGCTTGACTACTATTCCATTACTTATTTGCTTATTAACTTCATTCAAAATTCCAACTTACTATTTAGCATGTTGAAAAATTGTACTACTATGTTTGAATTACACTTTATACTTTATTTATTGATTAAAAAAATTTATTTTTATCTAATAAAATGTAAATTTGGTATTAATGAAAAATATCTATATATTATTATATTTTTACACATAATTTTACTATATTTTTTAATAATAATAATAATAACAATATTTTATTTCTTGTGTATTTATATTTTAAATTTTTATTTGAATTTTAAAATATTCATATAATAGAAAAATAACTGAATTTTTTGCAATAATAATAATAATAATAATAATAATAATAATAATACATATAATACTATATTATAATATTTAATCTTTAATAAGAATTTATATTTTTGTACATCAATTCTTATTTAAAACGTAATTTGTGTGCACTAAACAGAGTACTAACTAATTAACTTGTGTGAGTGTAGTAGACTAACACTGAATTAATTAAAAATTGATGTATGATATTTAACGTTTGGCAGTCCAACTGAGAACAATTTCTTTTAAGTAGTATATTGAGAGCATCTATTATAATTAATAAAGTATTAAGATAGATTTACTTCTTTAAATAACTCTATCTATATGGATTCGAATTGTTTGAGATTTAAAGTAAATTGGAAATATTGAGGGTATTAAACTCAAACTAAAAAAGACCATTCCTAAAAGGAAAGAACTTCAAAAGGAGAAGTATCAAGAATATTTTGTAACTCATTTTTTAATATTATGTCAATATTAATATTTAAAACTTATTTTATGTAACTAAAACCCTACAAATTTTTATTGAGATAAAAAATATTTATAGCATAAAAATACAAAAATTAAATATCTTTTTATTGCTTAAAATCAGTCATAAAATTTAATTTAAAATCACACAAGTGATTTCACTGTATATACAAATAACTATTGAATAAGTCGAAAGTAATAAAATCAATTGCTTGTCGAAGAGTCAAGAAAAACTTTTAATATTTTTCTGTTTATATTAATTCTGTGTTGATGTATGAGTTTATTTGGTTTTGACTATACATTTGCATGAACACATACAAATACTTGTTTGCTTGTGTGTCAAAGTCTTAAAGAACATGCATTATTTCTCTCTTAATATTATATATTTTCTACTGCACTTATTTTTCCGTACAACCATCACAGGTTTTTTTTGGTCAAAAGTGTTATGCACCGGTGAGGTTATGCAGAGCCCAAATCAGGCCCTGCACTGATGCCATGTTAATTAATAACGGGCTAATAACAACAACTAACTCTATAAACTTCTTCATAACTTCATTAACTTGGATCACCATTGCAACTATCACTGCGATTAGACCATAATCATAATCTCAAATCCAAGCCTATGCAGCTTAATTGAACTTTCACAATCTGGTAGTGTTTTGCTGACACCCATAACCATGATGGCAAAAAGAGGAAGGTAAAGGAAAATCCCAAATCGAAATGCACAGATTTTTAATAAGGTTAACAATATTAGTACACTATTTTTATGTTGCTGTAACATATCTAATCAAAGTACTAATAGCTTTTTAAGACATTAGTAAAAGAATAAAAAGATTATTTTTTATTAAAAAATATAATAATATATCATTTTGTAAATTTTAATAACAACTTTTTACTTAATGGGTACCTATATCTTTTAACAAGACACTATTGTTTTTTATATTCACAGAAAAATGAAACAAAGTGAAAGAGACAAAGACCTTTTTAGCTTCGATCTTAATAATTATCGATGCAAAAGTGTGTGGCGCTGCTTGCATGTTGCATCTATGATTACATTTTCCTGCATTTCCCGATTCCTTACATTGTGCACCACAAAAAGCTCAAAAAGATGAGGAAAAAAAAAGAATTTCACCTTTTCATTTTGATTTTTTAATGCATGTTTAAATATATATAAAAAATAAAAAATATTAAACTTTATAATATTTAATGCTGTTGATATTTATTATGTGTTTTTGAATTTGTATCAGAATGTTTTTTAATTATAAGAATCCACTCAATCTCAGTGGTCGCCCTCAATGGAAAAGTTGCCAAACTATTAAGAACTCTGTTTCTATTATTCCATATCCTGCATTCTTCCCTGCTATTGGAGAAAGGAAAAAAAATAAGTTAGAATTATTATTATTTGAAAATATCTTGGCATTGATTTTGTCCTACTCTTGAGTTTTTGTTTTTTTGTTTTTCAAAGATAACAAGATTATTCATAATCTAACTCTTGAGTGTGAAACACACATTCTCCTACAATAGAGTGAAATCTTATTTATACGAGAAATAGATGCATATAGTCGGATAATTTTAAGAGAAGTGATAATTTATTTATAATTTTTCAAAATTTTGACAAAAATATAAAAATTCAAATAAACTGAAGTGAACATTTTTATATGATTAATATTGCTTAAGTTCAAATTTCAGAAAATAAGTTAATACTTAATTTTTATATTTGTTTTTTTCTTAATAAACCATTAAATGAGAGAGAGATTACAAAATTTACACATAATAAATAACTTATTTTTTTTCCTCATATGATTCCTTCCTTCTTCATAAATGGATAACCATTTTTAAAGTTTAATATATCGAAGTCATATTTGAATATTACTAATTAGTGTATTATAAAATGTTTTGAGGCATGCTTCTTACAATTTTTTTTTTAAATTTATACAAATTAATATTACATTACACTTTTATTTCAATTTCATTAATTATTAGACATAAAACTTGAGGACAAGAGAGTTAATTTTAATAATTGAGAGCAAGAGACACAAGCTCTACTGTGAAATTGAGAGCAATTGAGTTTTTTTTTTTTTAACTTCTCTTTAAATCTTACCACACCCTTATATAATCTAATATTAATTTTTTTTCTGTAACTTCTCTTTATGTCAATTTGTTTCCATTCGTGCAAAAGCACGATAACAGTTCTGATATATAATCTAATATTAAATTTTAGTAATAACCTCTTCAGTTAAGAGAACAAGAAAATGGTTATTTTTCACCTGAACCACTGATGACACTGGCGTGCCATGAGTACGAAAAATTTCTAGTCCATATATGATATAATTTACGCATACCATTTTACATTAAATAATAAAAATAATTTATGAAGTTTTAACTACTAACTTGCCTAATGTATATAAATAGATCTATATTGCCACCACTTAATGATTAGGGCCAGATCACATTGCAATGATTCATTCATTTGTACAGTAAGTAGTCTGTCAACAGCACAAATGGTGGGACATTCAAGTAAGAAACCCATACATGTTGGATCAGAAAAAGGAGAATCAAAATTGAGAATCAGAACATGAACAAAACTAGAGCTTTGCTCAAGGCTCATGCCATCCAGTCAATCTCAGAGGTCAAAGTCCACTGTGTTAATCACCTTTGCAGGATGCCACTGCCACCAACCTACCCAGTTCACAATCATATTCATACCCAAAAGAACAGAAATGCTTATTTCTTAAACTAAAGCCATATCCTATTCCTACTCATTTGTGCAAACTTAGAATAAAATACATTATTAGAATATGGTGGGAAAAAGCACTGTGGGGACTTCCAATTCCTTTTACCTCAAATTTATCTCTTTGGATTTTTCTTGATCCAGCCCCACCTTTTCTTTTACTTCTCACTTGTGGGGTGAAGTACAACATGGCTTTGCGCTCCATAGACACTCATCAAGCTGTCCTCCCCATTTGGGAGTCCAAAAGTTTTTTTTTTTTTTTTTACTTTCCTCTTGAGAAAAAAGAAGAAAAAGCTATCAACTTGAATATAATTCTATTATGATAAGAATTCAGTAGGTGCATAGAAAGTGATAGCATCATTATGTCATAGTCTCTCCTTAAAGAATGAGTGATACCGACGAACTACTGTGTCAATTTCCTCAGCCAAACAATAGGAATAATAATGGTAATTGGTGAATAAAATACTGTACTTCAGTGCTAGCAAAAGCATAATATCTATCATGTCACAATCACCTTCCATTATTACCCAATTCAGAATTACACACGACACAGTAGAAGTGGCATCGACATCGTTCTCTCTGTATCCCAATCATAGTTTATCTTTGTTCCATATACTCTTCAAAATTCCGAGCTTCAACAATTAAAAGCAAAAGAAATTGAAACCCACACAAAAAAATTCTTTGCTTGCTTCACCTCTTCCAGAAGATTACAAAATCATAACACCGTCTGATCAATTTTTATGCCCCACTAACTGAAACACGAACATGAAAGCTCAAACAAAAATTTATGCTATCAAAACATGACCCAATTATGGTCTAATTAATATCAACAACTTCAAGTCTCTAACTCTGAAACAAACCCCATACTATGGACAGAACAAAAAAAGAAGAAACAAAGTCAAACATTAGGGGGAAAATAAAAGTTTATTTATTATTTCTATATAGGAAAAAATGGGGTTGAAGGCTATGCTTATCATTTATGATTATATGAACATGACATGACCCTTACAGAAGAAAGAGTTACAGATGAGAAGGTGACTCAGAAATGCTCTCCAAATGAGGTCTCCACACAGCAACACGCCCTCTTCTTCTGTCTCTTTGTGGTGAAACTTTCTCGGAGAGTATATCAGTCAAGTAGCGATCAGAGACAAGCAAGCTAGTCATGGACACGTTGGTGGCGTTGTAATTGTTCCTTCTCTCTCTTTGTTCCTTCTTCTTCTTTCTTCTAATCTGGTTCTTCTCAGGTGGAGGAGGAGGAGGAGGAGGGAGGGGCATGAGGAAGTAGATCTTCCCACGTTGGAGTTCTGCGTCGGGTGGCACCACCACGATCTTGTGGACCCCACCGCCGCCGCCAACTTCGTCGTTGGCGGCGGCGGAGCATGGCTTTTTGAGGACGTGTTTGGGGTGTGCCTTCATGACATCACCGGCTTTGATGGTGCCAGTGATTTCTTCTACTCGGCCATTGGAGTGCACTATGCGGATTACATCTAAAGCTCCACATGGGAGGATGCAAGAGATGCAACACCTTATGCTGTTTTTGATCATGGCTTTTTCCCTCCCTCTTTTTGCATTTGTGTTGGAAAGGTGGAGGAGGGGTAATGGTAGAGTGAGTAAATAATATACTGTGGTCTGTGGGAGAGGAAATGGATTTAGCTTTGAGATTATCTTTGCTCTTTTTCTCTGCTTTGGCTAATCTTTAATTAGTGGGGAATCAGCCACATCAAGGAATTGTCCATCAATTTGGTACATTTTTTTTAAAAAAGGAAAAGTATCAAATTGATAATCTCTATAATTATGAGGTTCTTAAAACTAGTAAAGAGAATTTGCATGGTTAAATTAAACGATAATTTAATAAATAAGTGAAAAAATGGTATATGTTATTTTTTAGGTAAGAGTGAAAAAGTAAGTTACTTAGAAATAAAAATAATCCGATTTAATAAATAATAATGATTTTTCCCTTATATATATATATATATATTTTATTTTATTTTTTCTTTTGCTGCTTTTGAATAGGTGGGAGGAATATTTTCGGTGCTAGCTTGGAATGAAATTCATGGTATGAATAATTGCACAACACCCTGTAGTTTGGCTTTTGATCCATTATTTAGGGACCCTACCCTCATCCCTGAGCTAACAGTACTCTCTCTTTGCTTTAGTGAGTTCAATAACAACAATATTAGGTTGGGATTGAAAGATTGGGATACTTATGGCATATTGAACGATGGGACTTCTTAGCAATCAAAAACTTAGGATCTCCTTTGAACATGTCACGAAAAGACATACGTGTGTCAGTAAAAAGTTGACACGTGTATACCCTTGAATGAATATTTATACTAAAGTTTAGTTGAGAAGGGTGGTGAAGTAGGGTCAGTCAATGGAGAGAAGAGGATGTGTTTTGTTTGGAGTGAAATGGGGGTTTGAGCGCTGGGAAATGGGGTACAGAGGAGAAGAGGAGATCTTATTTTAAGATGAGTTTGTGATCTTTCAATATCCCCAAGCAAAATCATGTGGATTGTGGTTTTTATTGGAAAGTGAAGTGTAATGGCTTTTGGGTCTGTGATGAAGTACTTTGACTAAGGCCCAGGTGTTTGTCTACTAGCCATATTGCCAAGAGCTACCCTTCCAAATGCTTTATCCGTTTGGTTTTCTTTCTTTTCATACATGGAATTTCTCCGTTTTGCTCATCTTTCATACACTATGCAATGAATTTAAGTCAAGTACACCTACTTTTCTCTTCTATCCATTAGTTCCATTACCACACAGTAGCGTGTTTGATGAGGTAATGATAGTAAGGCATAAACATTGTCTGTACAGTGCAAAACTCACTTTGGGGCTGAAGCTCAAGTAATTATTGTCTTAGAGGTAATGAGTTAATGATTGCAGGTAATGTTTACACAAAGATTGTCACTTTAATAACTCATATAAGATCCATGCATAATTTATTAACACAGCTCAAATCATAATGACACTGCCTTTGTACCACAGAAAAAAAAAATCCTAATTGTTCAACATTTAAAATTATAATCGACAAAATTTCAACTTCAAATATCATAGTTCTCTTTTAAAGACTCAACTAACTGAATGATACAGACACCCTCACAAACATCAATGTCACAAAATTGCCATTCGATGGTGTAGTTTTATTCTTTCTTATAACTTATGCAGAGAGTGGTAGTTCAAACTTCAAAGAGGCTTTAAGTAAAAAACTTGAGAATTCAAAAGTAAGATAATGACAGCCAAGAAAGTGATTTGTCCTAATCTCTTCGAGGAAGCGAGTTTTGGGTGATGGGCATGATTTATATATGATGGATATTCTAATTAATAGGGTACACTATGAGATTTGCCAATAGAAGAAAGGCAGTTAAAACTGCTTAATTACCCGTTAATTTTAGTTATGTCCCATCCATAATGTGGCCCGCTCATTAATAGGTACAGATGTAGATGTTAGTGGGCATCATGTGAGGCACTTAGGGAGGGTCCAAAGCTGGACTTTGATATTCTATTTGCTTTGTATCATCCAAATTTGGATGCTTAGATAACTTGATGTTATTATGCGGATAAGACTCACTTAAGAGATATATCATTTTCCCTCCTAAGCAGAGACCATTTCTATTCCCCACGCGTCACTCCTCACTCCCACCCCTTTTAATCTTTTTCCCATTCCTTTTTCTATAAGAAATTAACACCATTTTATTTTCCCTTTATGACCATCACACTGAAAGGATATCATGCACGAGTTAGCCAAATTTAAGAATTAAACTTAGTTTGAGTCAAGCAAGTCCCATTTGGGTGAAAAGATGGTTCTGATTTAAATTCTCTTGATATCTTTTCTGTCCATATATTTAAATATTTGAATATAGAATTTGTTTTAAAAATATAATTATATCATGATTCTATCCAAACTTGCCAAAATTTAATCGAGTTGATTCAGTTTGGATTAGCTTAAAAATTTATCGAATCAAATTTCTTTTTCTCAGAAACAGCTCAATATTTGATGTTTGCAACAGGAAATGGATGTAAATATTACTCATCCATCCTCCTGATTGGTGTATAAATCTTATGCAATTCATGAAGTTGAGTATTTAGTTTTTGGGTAGAGGGAGACAGTATGTATCTGATGGTGTAATTAGAAGACTATGTACCTTTTTCTCTTCAATTTGGCCTACTTGATTGTTCTACAATTATAGGTGTAGTTCTTGGTAAGTCTTTAGAACCTTTCGATATAACAGATATTTAAATAATTAAAAATTGATATTATATATATATATGTATATATATCCAATACATTTAAAAAATAAAGATCAGAACAACAAAAAAAAAATCTTCCATGAAATTATTCAAAAATTAATTTGTTGATGTAAATGATTTAGAGTAACTTTTGTAATCTGTTAATATATTTTATATTTAAAAAAAACATTATTCATTCATTAAGATTTAACAATGTATTTAAAGTCCAAAGACATTAATATCTTGTAGACTTGCAGTAGCAGTAAAAAACTTTTTTCAGTAAGGATTCAGTTTTAACTCGTGTGAATAAAATAGTTTAGTTTTTATACATTATCAATATAGTTTTTTTAATCACAACCAATTAAAATATGTGATAAGTATAATTTTTAATTAATTATTATAAAAACTAATAATTATGTTTGATATAATAATCTATGATCAATTATTATTATAAAAAAATTACATTATTAATACATTTGAATTAAATCAATAAAAATATAAACTGATACTTAAGAGAACTAATTAAAAAATATTAATAAAATTTTTAATAATTTTTTTTATTTAACGAGTCTTGTTTGTAATAACCTTAAAAAAAATTTGGTAGAATTTTATTCTCTCGAGTATGTATCTAACTTGATTTAGATAAGTCGAGACTCAAACTAATTTTTAAATATTGAAGGCTTAAAAAATTTTATAAAATGAAGAATAAGGTGTCTTAAACTCTTTACTAAGTAAATCAATTATACACATGTGAACGTAATTAAAATTTATACTATTGTGTCAACTATTCCAGTTACATTATTTTGATGTTTACTAAAATTAAATATTAAATTGTATGATAAATCATATACTTAAGCCCATTTTTTAAGTTTTTATTCACTGTCGAGTGAAATATTGCTTAATGCTTCAAAAAGGGAAAGAAACTTTGTTATGATATGATCTGTGATATTTAGCCCTTCAAAGATGTTACAAAATGTCGAAACATTTATTTATATAAAAATAATCTAAAAATTTTATTTTTATTTTTATTTTTATCCAGCAATATGTATTTGTGGTTACTGAGTTACATTTTTCTCCCTCTTAAAGATTTGGTTGGGCTTGGGAGTGTAATTTCAGCTTCAAGTTTCTATTGATGGGCCTATTTTTGTTTTTGTTGTCAATAACGGGCTTGTGGTGTGCTAGGTTTGATTTATTTTTGAGTTGGTCAGAACCCAAATAAAAAATAAAAGAAACGCAAAACCATCTGAAAAATACTTTAAAATAATTATATTCGTAAATTTTATATTAAATATGTATAATAAGTAATAAATATTAGTAGTTCATCATAAAAATAAATAAATATTTTTAATTTTTAAAATATTAAAATAATTATTAAAAAAATATAAATACACTCACAAGTTTATCATGAAGGAGAGCAAGCACCTACTTTAAAACACATGCAAAGTTGCAATGTTTGATTTTTGGGCTTGACATAATTGAAAGGAAAACTAGCTGTATGTTCTATAGGCTTTCACATCACATTATGCTATAATGTGAAAGACTCATGGCCACAGAATCTTATATGCAAGCACGGACTTAACAGGAGAGTAATTAATTCCTTGAGGAGACACGAGTGTAGAAGTGAAAATCTTTTCTCTGTCTCTGGTACTGTGCTATCATTTGATAGTATGAGACTGGTATACCCATCATTTCTAACATTGCATTGTGTCTATTTCCAAGAAATTTAAGGGGTTAGAGTTATACTGAACGAAGGTAAGTAAGAGAGAGAGAGAATTGCATATTCACAGATCTTATTTGCTTTGCAGGTTCCATCTTTAGCAGTATAAGGATAATCAGCTGCGGTGGCAATTCCATTATTTTCTGTAACCCATTCGAATGAATGGAAGCGCCATCCATTGTAACAACAGAACTGACACTGTTCCTTTGTGGTAAACTTGTCTATGTCAAGGTCCAATATGGGACGGTCACTTGAGATGCCGGAACCAGAAGAGAGACTCAAGACGGAGAAAAGAAGAAACCCAAGGAAAGCCATAACTTAGTGGAAATTGTTATGATATGTTAATTATGAGGGTCACTTGTACCATCCCGTATATGTAGTGATTAATTAGTGAGCATTTAAAAATATTGTTTGGTTTGGATTTCTGATATTTAATTGAAATCTGATTTGGATTACAAGCCAGCAGGGAGGGACCAAATAGCGAGAAATTTTCTTTTAAATTAAAACTTTTGTATTCTTTTGATTATTGTGTGGGTTGTAAAATTGGCGACAGTTCTCTTTAATCGACTTTAATATACCCTTTTTTTAAAGAGCATTCAATTGATGTTAAACATGTTCTGTTTTCAAGATTTGATGCTTGAATAATTTGACATGTTTGCTTTAATGTGAGGAAGTAGGATTTGTTTACTTTACTTTAGTTTTTTATTCAAAATAATATATGCATTATACGTTCAATGGGACTGTCTCAAAGTTTGATCATAAATTAAAAAGCATTTAATTGCAATGTGTGA